TGTGTGTGTGTGTATGTGTGTTTGTGTACGTGTTTATGTGTGTGTGTGTGTGTGTGTGTGTGTTTGTGTGTGTGTGTGTTTATGTGTGAGTGTGTGTTTGTGTGAGTATGGATTTGTGGCACAAAGATACTAATGTAGTTATACAGATAGCTAGCTGGACCAGATCGTTTGGAGTGCCTTCCCCAAGGACACAACTTTGGACCGAACTGAGACTCGAACCCGAGATCCTACTATCTCACAATTACTGACCCGGTGTTTTTACCACTAGGTGTTGCCGATGCAAACAACAGAATGGACAACTAATTTATACTCAGGAATATTATTATTATTTTTATACACAATTATTATAGTACCCTTGAAATAAAGTTCGTATAGAATAGCAACACACATACCCCAATACAGCTCCTTGAACCGTCACCCCCACCCCTCCTCCGCCCTCATACACAGTACCCTCGTGCGCTCCTCCCAAACCGCTGCTGCCTCCCACCTCCTCCCCTCCCTCACGCCAAACTCAATATACTCATGACTAATCCCCACCACAAACAACACACCCCCTTCCAAACCTTTCCCACAAACCGTTCACAAGTCATAATAATTTATTTTGATGTGGCGAAATTGGCTCCCCTAGGTCAATTACTTTGCTGATCTTCAACAAATGTGATCATGCTAATAATATGCTACCTGCAGGTAGGGCGCAGAGCAACATGAATGTCAAGCACTCGCAGACTCGTACAACTTACCGATGGGCCCATAGGTCCTCGCTCCTCCGATGGGATGGCATAGCCCGTGGCGTAGGTCTGTTGGGAGAAACAATCATCATAATAAGGATGCATGACTCATGGACAATGCGTTGCAAATGAGGGAGTCACTGATAATCATCTTTGCTCTCAGATCAATGACGTACATCTATAATCTTTGAATCTCTATTTGTAACAGTTACATGTCATACTAAATATAGACGTTATACCCTATTGAACACTATCATATGCACTTTTTTGTACTATTCAGATGGCGTCCATCTCAATAAGTGGGCAAGGGATAAAAAAAGAGAGAGTCACTGAGAATAAGCAGGAGGTTTATCAATTACCGTTCAATTAATATTCTGTAGTCTTATCGTATTCTTTTATTCGGCTCCCTACGTCTCTCATTCATCTCTCCATCAACGTTCTTGGTCATTCTATCCACTTCACAATCACTCAGTATCTCACTCACTTGTTCATTCACTAACCCATTTACGCACTCACTGGTTTATTGATTCAACGACTGACTGACTGACTGACTGATTGACTGACTGACTGATTGACTTCCCCACTCACTCACTCACTCATTCACACACTCACTCACTCACTAGCAGGAAAACAGGATTTTCGTCTTAATATCTCACTCATTTACTTCCCCTCTCCTTTCTCTCTCTCTCTCTCTCTCTCTCTCTCTCTCTCTCTCTCTCTCTCTCTCTCTCTCTCTCTCTCTCTTTCTCTTCCAACCCAGACATGTATCACGATTGTTCTCTACTACGCTCCACTGACAGTATGAACAACAGACACAAGAACATGGATGTTTAGTTTTCGTAAGGTCAAAACTGCATAAGGTCATGTGAGCGCCAAGGGGTGGATGTCAACAGAGAAGTCCAAACGGGGAATCGGGCTTACTCTGCCCACCTCTCTAGCCTCAACAGTACAAAGTCTGCTTCGACTATCATGGCACCCAACAAATAGAAGTTCACAAGAGAGTGACAGACATACAAAAAAGTAGAGGAAAAATGACGAAAGTAAGGCTGAGGAAAGAAAAAGCAGCAGTTCCCCCCATGTTGTTCCGGCAAAGTATGAACGTGACATAGGTAAATCAGCCCATTTACAATTCTATTGTGCATAAGAACATGTTGAAACCCCCCTTTGGGAATGGCCAAAAGACATTTCAGTCAGTCGCACTGCCCTGGTGGGGGATGAACATGGAAGAGTTTGACACCACGCGAGACACAACAACATCTCACTCACCACAGCTCCCTTGTCTCCTGGAGGACCTGGCGGACCCTGCGAAAAGAAAAAATAACGATAAGTATTTAACACTCTAAAACGGACTACCACAAGTAACAAATTTCATTGAGCGTCAAAGAGTCAAATGGTTGGGACATCTAACTAGGATGAACCAGAAACAACTTGCACTCTAAAATAAATATATCAACTTTGTATCCACAGGCCTGCACTAGGGGGGGGGGGGTCATTAGAGCTTACACACCTGTGAATCCGGGTTCAAATCAAGAGGAAGACCAAGAAAGACCTGGCTGGATGGGGTTAAAAAGGTCCTGGAACAACATAACATTATCTATCACAGACAACACACACTTAGCACAGGACCGAAACCTGCGCCTCCCATCAACATCCTAAGGATATCAGAGGAAGGAAAAAAAATTCAGAAAGATTTTACACTCTGACCAAAAAATGCATAATTGATATCATAAAGTTTTTGACAAGACGAGCTCTGACGCTTATATGACTATTTCTGTGTCTGTAGCGCCGTAAAGCACCTATCGTAGAATGCATAGATGATCTGCTTTGGCCTTGCCTGCAAGAGCCAATTAAGTCTGAAAGGAAACAACATCCCATCAGAAAGGTTGCAATAAAGAAATCAAATAGTAGTTGTTTTACACCCCGTCGACACAATCATTAAGGAGGTGATGCTTCGACCATGTCTACCTGGGCTAATAAATTCTGGGAGGGATACCATTTCCCAGGAGAAAGACGGCTATACTCGAAAAAAATTCCCCACACTAGAATCGAACTCAGGTCTTCTGCAAAAGATGACGAAACTCCTTAGAACCACATCGTGCCTCAGACACCTGCTCGGAAAGATGGTGTACTCGACAAGAAAGACTTTCTTAAACGAGAATCATATTCGTGTCTTTTAAATGCAAAGCATAAAATCTAAAAACCACACCACAAACGCTGGCGAAGAAAAAAAAGGCACAATTCTAGAACTGTCACCTTACGTGGAGCGGACCAGGTAACTCATGAGGCACCGCCCCCCCCCCCCAACCCCAAAAAACCCAAACAACAGCAACAAACAAACAACCCCCCCACCAAAAACAAACAAACAAAAGAAAAACAATGACAAAACAAAAAACAACAAAAAACAAAACAACAAAAAACAAAACCAAACTAAGAAAAACAACAAATCCCCCCAAAAACTTAAAAATAAAAATAAAACAACAAAAACCAACAACTCCATTCTGAGACTGGAAGCTGGTGACTCTTCTCCAAATGCCAGATCTGAAACAGACATCGGCAATCATCGTTCGCGCCACTTTTCTTTAACCGAACGTTTTCAGAAAACCTCAATCATCCTTATGTGTATTCACTAAACCCATCCGTTCAACGTCCATCTTCTTCTTCTTTGAGTTCCACTGCTAGATCTCAGGTAGAGTCGCCTGCTGATTCCTCAACCTGCAATACAACTGATTGTTACGTATGTGACCGGTTTTTTTTACTTGGTAGGGCCCCTTCCCTTAAGGCAGCCACATTCTGATTCAAGTTCTAAAAAAGAGAGTAAATTCTTTGTTCACCCGTGCGTGTTTCCCATGCTAACCCCCCCCCCCCAAATAATTATCAGCTTTATTTCTCTTCATTCTCTTTGATCTGAATCCCATTTATTCCTTCTTCACTCAGTTGTCAAAAGCCCTCAGCATTCTCTTGAGCTGCTTTCTCTTAGGCCCTACTCCAAGTTTGTTTTTAACATCACGTACACAAAACCTTTCTTCATCCATATCTCTTTAAACGCCTCAGGTTCTCTTTGCCTTTTTAAAGCCTATCTTTGAAGTTTTCTTTAAAAAGAGCGCCGACTCCATGCTTTGAGGAAACCTCAGTCGCGTTTTCACTGAACTGCGTTTGCCACAATCTCTTTGTGTTTCACATGTACGATATATCAAATTCCTTCCTTTACACTTCCGGGCTCTTCCGCGCTTTCCACCGACCATTTCTCCACCTCATGGTGCAGAAAGATTACCGTATTTCTCTTCAGGGGGAAGAAAAAGTCTTTCTAACACTCCTCGATTTTTGCATTCTCTGTGCAAAAGTTGACTCCCAAAGAACAACAGTACAGTTTCCCAAGATTCAAACTTCCAATCGCTTTTTTTAAAGCTAAATAAAACGGGTGATCAAGATAGGACCTGACTCGCTTGTTCCTCTGCTGTTGAGGCATAAATATCCCAGTATTCCTGTTTTACACTCCCCAGTTTAGAACCGTGTTGCAAAAGCTTATTATGTTGGTGGAGTGGGCTATAAAATGCACGCGATTAGATCGCTTTTTGATTGCTATGATTTCTTTAAAGTGCACAAATAATAGAAAGCAGGTTGGATTTTTCATCTATTTTTCTGATGCGGGTGGGCAATACAAAGCTATACATACGCTTTTCATGGCTTTCCAGACACGCGCAAGGCAAAATCTATCAACTGCCGCATAAAGAACGCATTAGGCGGGAGAAACGCATTATTCCTGGTGTCAGCTTTTGTGTAATGCTGTAGAAATCTATTTTTCGTTCCCGTTCTTCCTCGTTCTTATTTTTCGTTTATATATAGGCACAGCTTTCACTCATGAGTCTGACGTTGTAGGAGATGGGGCTGGAATGTGAATCGTTTTTATTGTGGAATCGTTATCATTATTCCGCTGGGAGTAGATACGAACGGGAACTCTCATTCGACTTGCAAGAAAGGAATTCATTTTCTGGTCGGCAAACATAAAATGGGCATGTATTACAAACATCCATTGTTTGTTAAAGTTTCTATTGAAACGTACTACTATAACCCCACAAATACGAAACAAACAGTTAATATATTTAGTGTGTTGACATTTTGCAGAATATTGCACTACCTCGGTACCTTTTCCTTTTAATTTTTCTTTAATTAGAATCTGTCTTCTGTAAAGTGTGATTGAGTAGAAGAGTCTTAAAAGATGTAAATTGGTAGAAACAAAAGCCACTTAAGCATCTTAAAATTAAAACGAGTACAAGAAAGTTAGCTGTCAGCAATTCGCCTACGTTTCTTTACATGTTTGTTCGTCAGGCCACTCTATCTCCCACCCTTCCTCCTTCTCTCTCACTCACTCTCTCTCTCTCTCTCTCTCTCTCT